AGAATTGTGAAGGAGTACGTAAAGTAGTGTCTTGTTAGTACCAGGAAAATGATAAGCACTTAACAAACTAAGCATTTTTAATAGAAGCATTTGTAGACGACTGATATGAAATAACTTTGGAAAGGTTATCTCTGATGCTTGCAGTGGCTCTTAGAGGGCGACTCCTCTTATCACTTGAGGAAAGGGAACAGGTAGTACCCTCTGCCACTCAAGAGTAATTTATTGGCTAGCAATTGCTGACTAAAGAACCTTTGGGGACCAGCATCTGCCTAGTGCTGTAGGCAGAGTGCTGATTGAGCAGCTGCTCTGGTTACCAAGGTACTAAAGGCTTTGCTTTCTTCGTTTCATTTTTTCTTCACTTCTTTCCCAATCATAAAAACAAGGGTGCACAGGGAATTTTTTTTCACTCTGCATCTACTTGAATGAGACAATTAATAATGACTTGCTCCAGCCTATCCTTTTCCTTTTTACTGAAGTTGGTTGGAGTCATATTTTTAAAAGCTCATCAGAATCTGCTGTTTATTTGATAGATGTCTTTGGGAAAATGGTTCCCCATGAGACATTTCAAAACAATACCTTTTACTCTAGCTTCCTGGCTAGAATAAAAAGAAAGAAAATATAAATGTCATTACTACAATCATTTTTAAGTGCTCTCATGTACCTTTAATTTTATGTCTGTCTTGGCATTCTACTGATCTAGAGAAAGCTTTAGAAGAAGAAATTGTTCAAGAAATTTGATTTGGAGGGAAGGTAAGTGTGAAGCCAACTGTAAGTGAAGCTTATTTGAAAAATGCTCTTATTTTCCAGAAAAACAAAGGTTTTAGGGTCTGAATGCAAAAGTGTGTTGTTGCTTGTTTCTAATCAACTGAACAGTTTCCATGTTGTGTTGTTTTATATCATGCATAAAATTTGCATTGGATTTTTGAGAAATCAATCTTTCAAAGCTAAGTAAAAAGAATGTCAACTATTCCATAATGTACTATGTATCTTATTACTTATTTGTATTATAATTTGAAAAATTGTCTTGGAATTTTAAAATTGTAGAAACGTAATTGCTATATATTGGGGGGGGGGGTGTAACAAAAAATACCTAATTCAAAGAATAAAGCAAAGTGCCAGAGGTCTCTACTGTAGTGGCTTTTTTACCCATCAGTTTAAAAACAGGCGTATGTACATGTTCTCCCCAGACTTGAAATACTTCACTCTATGTCTGACAACCTCGATTGACATTTTAGAAGGCAGTAACTTCATGTTGCTGAGAAAGGAATTTAGCTTTTTGGCAAGGTGTCATAAAGGTTAAGCTGTGGTAGAAGTGCATGTCTTTAGTAACCCAGCTACTTGAGAGGTGGAGCCAAAAGAGAGTCCAAGGCCAGCCTAGCTAGAGTTAAACAACAGTTAACCAGCCCTTATCTCAACATCAAAATATGATAGGGCTAAGGGTATAACCCCCTCGTGGTAGAGTGCTTTCCTATCATATGTTAGGCCCTGGGTTCAATCCCCACTGCCTATTGTTAACATCAGACACAAATATCATTTTTCTCATTTTTTTGTTTCCTTGCTACTTTCATACATCAGTGTGTCTCCTCACAAATATTTTACAAAAAGCCAAAACTATTTTTCATTATCTATTACACACTGCTGGGTCTCAACAGATGTTTGTTTAATAATGAGTCATTTAGCTGACCCAGTATATTTTTATGTTCCTTTACTCTCAGCCCACTTTATTTTTACAAAATTACTTATGTATCACAGCTTTTGTAATCAGTATTTTACCTGGCTATGAAATAATAGCAATTGTTGGCAGAGGCTGTTGAGTAACCTGTCAGTTCTGAGAAGTTCCTGACACATGCTTTTCAGTTACTCAAAAGCAAATGAATGTTTGATAAATGACATCTTTGTCTTATTTCCCCAGAGCAGCATAGAAAAACTATCAACACACAAACTACTTTCCAACTTTAATAGGAAAGAAGCAGTGGAAAATCCAATCTTACTTGATGGAAGCTATGTATTTCTATTGGTAGTTCTACTTTTGTAATCTGAAGTGAATGAAGTTCAATTTTACATTGAAAAGATGACTGTCAGTCTGTTCATTTGGGATAATTTAATTGCCTCAAGTATTCTGTTTTGTTTTATGGTATTTTTTTCTTTAGAAAGTTCACAGCTTGCATCATGATTATAATACTAAAGTTCACAAAATGTTTTAATACTATCACCCACTCCTGAACCCCAAAAGTCTCTTCTTGGTTTTCCTTCTTTCCAGATTTTGTCTCATAAATGTGCATAGTTGTAGAATTTGCATCTTACTCATAAGACAAGATTAACTCATCATTCTACCACACATGTTTCTTTTAGTTAAAGGACAAACAAGCCTGCCTGTTGCCTGTCAATTATATTCCTAAAGTTGGAAATGCATGTCCTAATCTCAAGTTACTGATGAAATTTGGAGTGTCATTTTTTAGCACATTCTAGTTGGCAATGTCCCTAATTCTTGATCTTTGGGTAAACAGCTGTTTGTATAAACATTTAAATGATAGGAAAGCTTGACATTTAATAAGTATACTCTGCTATCTTTCCTTTACTACTCCTTTGACCTTTACATAAAGTATTTTCCTTGGCTGGATGTGTGGCTCCAGTGGCAGGGCACCTGTCTTGCAAGCATGAGGCCCAGAGTTTAATCCCCAATACTACAAACGTCAACAAAATCTTCTAACTGCCTGGTCCCAGCTACTCAAGAGGCTGAGATCTGAGGATCATAGTTCAAAGCCAACCCAGGCAGGAAAGTCCATGAGACTCTTATCTCCAATTAACCACCATAAAATGGGAAGTGGTGCTGTGGCTCAAGCAGTCCTCAGATATGAGCTTCTTATATGGGTATAATTACAGACATGAGCCACTGGCACCTAACAATTTCTTGATTTTTTAAATTTCCTTTAAGTAGTCACACAACAGAGGTGTCTTTTAACCAAGCAATACATCCCCTTTGGCCCACATCTTCCCTTCCACTTCTTAATTTTGTAGTATATATAATGAATTCTTTTTTTTTTTTTAGGTCGGTTGTGGGACTTGAACTCTGGGCCTGGGCCTTGAACACTGTCCCTGAATTCTTCAGCTCCACCATTCTACCACTTGAGGCACAGCACCACTTCCGGTTTTCTGAGTGGTGTATTGGAGATAAGAATCTCACGGCCTTTCCTGACTGGGCTGGCTTTGAACCTGGACCCTCAGATCTCAGCTTCCTAAGTAGCTAGGATTACAGGTATGAGCCACCATGCCAGTTATAATGAATTCTTGACTGCATTGTCCTCCCTTTCTTCCCTTCATTGTCTACCTCCCTTCCCTTCCCTTGGCCTTACCCCTACCCCTTGCAAGTACCCATTTCTTGGTGAGTATTTTGTTGGGCTTTAACTTAGTCTTTCTATTCTTGATTCTTTTTAAGCAAAACAGTTCCCTTCCTTATCTTCTAAATTTGTTATGAGGAACAGTTGCTTAAGGGTTAGGGAGTAGCAGGCATTAATCCACATTTGAATTTTTAGAAGTATCCATTGGTAGGTTTTGACTTTGGAGACCTGAATGCAGTATTGGCAATGAATTGGTGGTGTTATTTATATTTGCAAAATTTTCAACAAGCATTTGTGAAGTGCCACATTTTAGCAATGTGTCAGCTGGTGTGGAAGAAACTAATGTGTGTAAATATTTAATTTTACTTCTAAGAAGCTTGCCTATGAGTTTCATTTTTCTTAAGAATTTTTCTTTTTGTTCCTTGAATTAGCTGCTGTCATTATTGGGAACTGGTATTCAAATTGATGTGTGAATAACCTTCAGTGACTTAATCTATTCAATGTAATATGAAACTGGTTTGTTCATATTCCAGAATTTCTTCTCTTGTATAACTGAAGTCGCTTAGATAATGTAGAAAGATAATCTTATTTTATTTTTAAATAAAATCGATATTTAGAACATTTAGATAAATGTTGACAAAAACAGTTAAGGGTTTAAAGTATGTAAAGGTCTAAGTTCTAGTTATCCCTGATGAATATAATAAAACTGTAAGAAACAGTATGTAATGCCAAGTTTGCCATGCAATATGTAAAAGAAAAGCCAATATGGTTTGACTTCTTCTTCATTCCTCAGTTACTTCTAATGCACTGAATTACATGTCTTCGTAGAGTAGGCCATATAGGGCTTTCAGGTATTTTTGTTGTTGTTCTTATTGTTGTTTGTTGATCGTGAGGCCTGAACTCTGGGCCTGGGTGCTGTCCCTGAGCACTTCAGCTTAAGGCAAACACTCTGCCATTTGAGCCACAGCGCCACTTCAGGCATTTTTTTTTCTGCTTATGTGGTGGTGAGGAATCTAACCCAGGGCCTCAAGCATGCAAGGCAAGCGCTTTACCACTGAGCCACCTTCCTAGCCCTCCATGTTAATTTCTTTTTTCTTGTTTCAGCATTTTGTTATTTCCCTTCCCTTCCTCCATGTTATTTGTTGCACATAAAAGCAGACTAGTTCACACACACTTAGTAAAGCTGTAGAATACATAACAATCAACTTTTTACCTGTTTTAGACAAAGCTAGACTGGAAGTCAATAGAGCTAGAAGCCATATGTGTGTAAGACAGTTCTACACATAGGCCTAGCACAATTCCTGGCATTTGATATGGCCTAAAAATTTTCAAATGAGACAATTCATGCCCTTGTAATGAGGACTAAATCTCCCATCTCCTGGGATACATTTTCATCAACATACCTTTAAACATTGTAGAAACTGAACAAAAATAGCACATCCCTTTGATCACAGAGGGCTGCTATTCCTCTGCTCTCCCACCCCTCAAAAGCCATTAGTTAGAATCCTTGACTTGGTTGTATGAGGGAATAAACTATAGGACATTTGCAGCTGGGTCTGGTCCTGTTAAACCTTCCTGATTGCCTTATGCCACGCCTCCTTAATCTTGTTCAGTGGAGGGAAGATGATTCAAATGAGCTAATCTCTTTCTTCCTTTTCTCAGGTTCTCTCTTCAGAATGATTCCTTGCAGGGCAGCGTTGACTTTTGCCCGATGTCTGATCCGGAGAAAAATTGTCACTTTGGACAGTCTAGAAGATTCCAAGCTATGCCGCTGCTTAACCACCATGGATCTCATTGCCCTAGGGGTCGGGAGCACTCTGGGTGCTGGGGTTTATGTTCTTGCTGGGGAAGTCGCCAAAGCAGATTCTGGTCCCAGTATCGTTGTGTCCTTCCTCATCGCCGCCCTGGCATCTGTGATGGCAGGCCTTTGCTACGCTGAATTTGGTGCCCGAGTTCCTAAGACAGGGTCTGCGTATTTGTACACGTATGTTACTGTTGGCGAGCTGTGGGCCTTCATCACTGGCTGGAATCTCATTTTATCTTATGTGATAGGTATGTTGCAAAAAATAAGTCTATATTGTGTAGAAGGGTAGAAATAACACCCTTAAGAGGCCCTCTGTGTTGAAGGGTAGATCTGCTGTTCCTTTAGCTACTGGATAATCACCAGTGGGTCATTTGATCCCTGTATATCTTACTTCTCTCATCTCAAAATGGTTGATTCTCATCCATCTCTGAATTTGGAGAGAAAAAATGTTCCAGCAATTTTTAGTGACAACTTTTATAGTTTTTTTTATTACAAATACAGTAGCCTGGTTACAAAGTTATAAACTTGATATTTAATTGCTATTGTAGGCCTGACATGATGGTGCATGCTTGTAATCCCCATATATAGTAAGATTGTGAGTTCAAGTCCAACCCGGGGTACATAGCAAGACACCCCCCCACTCAATAAAAATACTAGTTATAATATTTAATTATTAACTATTGTAACAAATTACTGTTGTAACTAGATAAAATTACAAAATGTAATTTAATCTTATGTTTATAATTTGAGTTATATTGTGATTAAAAATTTCAATCTATGTACACAAACCCATGTTTATCCTAGATAGGGTAGCAAATGATAGTATATTCATTTTATGCCAGTGACCTTATATTCTCTGAACATTCTGTTTTGGAAAGGTACGTCAAGTGTTGCAAGAGCATGGAGTGGCACTTTTGATGAGCTTCTTAACAAACAGATTGGTCAGTTTTTCAGGACATACTTCAAAATGAATTATACTGGCCTTGCAGAGTATCCCGACTTTTTTGCTGTGTGCCTTATATTACTTTTAGCAGGTAAGAAAACCACTTAAGTGGGATTCTCTATAATGAGGCCAACTAACAATCTCCCAAAAATAGGTTACTACTGAGTCCTCATTTTCTAATTTAGACATATTGTAGACAACTATATTTGGTGTAGTAATTTCTCATTTTTCCTCAGTGTAGTAGCATAGTAGTTTAGAAAGACACAAGAATTAGAGTAGGGGCAACCAGGTTTGCAATCATGTCTTTGCAGCACTCTCTAGTTTTATAATTTGATTTACTTAATCTTTTCATCACTCAGTTTGCTTAGTCATATAATAAGCCTACAAGCTTCTCACTTGGTACATAGTAAGCACTCAGATGATAGTTTTATTTTATAAACATAGTTGATCTAGTTTTATTTTATAAGCATAGTTGATCCTTGTTTTAGTTGAACATTTTCCATTCTGATTGTCATCTGCAGTCACCCTTAAGTACTAAACTAAGAATAAAATCTGCACTAAGAATAAAATTTGTTCCTACTTTCTATTTGATTTTATTTATTTTTATTCATTTATTTATTTTGTGTACCAGGGCTTGAACTCAGAGCCTGGAGCTCTTTTCAGCTTTTTCACTCAGGTAGTGCTATCTGTGAGCCACGCTGCCATTTCTGGCATTCTGCGGATTAGAGATAGGGTCATGAGGATTTGTAGGCCCAGGTTGTCTTCAATCCTCACATCTGACTCCTGAGTAGCTAGGATTATAAGTATGAACCACTGGTGCCCAGGAACCCTTGCTTTGCTATATACAGCCTTGTCTTTAATATTTTTCTCTTTTGATTAAAAGGATGTGAAGGAAGTCTTTAGCTAAAAAATAATATAGTTTTTAAAATAGCCTTACTTTTAAAAAAATTGACTAAAATATAGGGATAGGGACAGGAATATGAACAAACTTGGTCCAAATGTTTTCCTTTTAATATCAAGAAAAAAATTGCATCCACTGTTTTTCATAAAATGATACATTTTGATTTGGTTGATTTCTAAAGAACATAGCTGTTTCTAAAAAATATATCATGTTATATTTTATTTAGAGTGTCTTTAACAAACTTAAAATATTAAGCTGTAAGTTCTCAATGGTGAAAAGTATGTAGAACTGTTTTTGGTTTGGTTTGTTTGTTTGTTTGTTTGTTTGTTTTGGTCAGTCATGGGGCTTGAACTCTGGGCCTGGGCGCTGTCCATCAGCTCTTCAGCTTAAGGTGAGCACTCTATGACTTGAGCCACAGTGCTACTTCTGTTTTTCTGGTGGTTAATTAGCGTATAAGAGTCTCACAAACTTTCCTGCTTGGGCTGGCTTTGAACCACAATCCTCAGATCTTAGCCTCCTGAGTAGTTAGGATTATAGGAGTGAGCCACTGGTGCCTGGTTTAGAAATCTTATATTCCATGGCAAACCTAAGTCTCAGGCCATAACCTGTATCATTTGTCCTCTCGTTCACCTTCATACCTTTCCTTTAAATAGAGTGTAAGTTTATAACTTTGTTTTTAGATTCTTTGAAAACCAAAATCTTCTATTATATTCATATTGTAGCACTATCTGTCAACTGAAACTATTGTTTTATTAAAGGGAAAGAGAAGCATATATAGTCTTCAGATTAGATACTTAATTAAGAAAGAACCAAGAGAATGAAGAAAAAATGTCAATAGTTGTATTATGCTCCCAAAGATGTAAGTAGCAGAGGCCTTTATCCAACAATTGCAGAGTCAGTAATTGTGCTGATCCTATAGCTTTCCTTTGTGTCACTAATATAGTTACCAACTTATAACTAGACCAGAACTCTTGCCACATTGATATATAAATAAATCACTATGAACACGAACATCCTAGAAGAAAAAACTAACTCAAGTTTAAATTTAATAAAATGTAAATTAGATCAAACTACTTGTAGACTATATTGACAAGGTGAACCAGAGCCCTGCATATTAACTTGGAGAAAATTATTGTAAAGAAACAATTAGGTGGGGCTGGGAAGGTGGCTCAGTGGTAGAGGGCTTGCCTTGCATGCCTGAGGCCCTGGGTTCAATTCCTCAGCACCACATAGGCAAAAAGAAAAAAGCCGGAAGTGGCGCTGTGGCTCAAGTGGTAGAGCACTAGCCTTGAGCTGAAGAGCTGAGGGACAGCGCCCAGGCCCAGAGTTCAGGCCCCACAACCGGACCCAAAAAAAAAAAAGAAAGAAAGAAAGAAACAATTAGAGCCAGGTGCTGTTGGTTAATACTTGTAATCCTAGCTACTCTGGAGGCTGAGATCTGAGGATCATGGTTCAAAGCCAGCCCCAGCAGGAAAGTTCGGGAGACTCTTATCTCCAACTAACCACCAGAAAAACCAGAAGTGGTGCAGAGAAAGAGAGGGAGAGAGGGAGGGAGGGAGGGAAGGAGCCAGGGAGGGAGGAAGGAAAGAAAGAGGGAGGAAGGGAGAGAGGGAGGGAGGGAGGGAGGATTTAGAAAGTGTAGAAAGATGTTTATAAAAGGATGATGATATTTCTGTACTTGTTACCCTGGACAACTAATTTAAAACGTCCTATCATGTCTTCATAAGTTTTAAAAAAAGGATGATGTCATGCTATCTATAAAAACCAACAGTGGCCTATTTTAAATAAGGGATTAAAGTATCTCCTATATATAGTAATTATTTATTCAGTTGTTCAGAAAAGAAGTTATATATTTTATATTTGTCAACATGGAAATATGTGCATGTGTTTGCACATGCAGGTTGACCTTGACTCTTCATACTTTTTTGGTGTCTTCAGATTACTTGAATAGGAGATTTTTATAATTGGAACAGAAAAAAAAGCTATTGAAATGATTCTAGATTTAACAAAGAACTGTTTTTATATGACCTTCAAGAATTATATTATTTTCTCCTTATATGTTCAGTAGACACACAGGATACACATGATTGAACTTCGTATTAGCTGTGAGCTAACTTTTTAAAACAATGTTTGTTTGTTTTTTTTTTTGGTCTGGTTGTGGGTCCTGAACTCTGGGCCTGGGCGCTGTCCCTCAGCTCTTCAGCTCAAGGCTATTGCTCTACCACTTGAGCCACAGCGCCACTTCTGGTTTTTTTCTTTTTTGCTTATGTGGTGCTGAGGAATCGAACCCAGGGCCTCATGCATGCAAAGCAAGCGCTCTACCACTGAGCCACATTCCCAGCCCTAGAACAATATTTGATTGAAATTAAACATTGCTTTATATCTAACTAGTAATGGTAATAACAGCCATTTGCTAGACTTAATATACTTCTTATGAATGGTAGAATCTCCTGACCAAGTATAGTCTGCCTCTAGAAATCAAGTTGATGTCTTTACAAGACATTGTTTTACAATTAGGTAACTAATAACTATCTATAATAATAACTAATAATAATACCAATAGTAATAATCAGCAATATAAATAGATATGTGGAAGTTAAGTACAAGAAGTCTAATTTTTCTGTGTATACCTTTGCCTTCTCTATAGATGAAATTTTTAAATACCTTGTTTTGCTATAGGCCTTTTATCTTTTGGAGTAAAAGAGTCTGCTTGGGTGAACAAATTCTTCACAGCTATTAATATCCTGGTCCTTCTCTTTGTAATGATTGCTGGGTTTGTGAAGGGAAATGTGGCTAACTGGAAGATTAGTGAAGAGTTCCTCAAAAATCTATCTGCCAGTGCCAGGTAAAATATTTGGGCTTTTTTTTCATCCTCTTTTTAAAAAAATGTTTTAAGAGTATACTTTATACTTGAAAGTTTTCTCTAGAGCAATGGTTCTCAACCTAAGACCCTTTTGAAGGGCTTTCTATGCTAAGCCGCATCTGTGAGAAGCTGTGCGGCTGTTGGCTCCCAAACTCAGCCTCTGCTCTAGGTTTGGGGAAGGCAGGGGCAAGCTTAACCACTGCGGGAGCGTTATCTTTTCTCCCTCAGAGTTGGCCACTTCTAATTAACAAGGACTGGCACTGAATTGTGCATCCTTTATCACTTTTAGTATCACTATCTAGTTGTATTGCGTGCTTTCAGTCTTTTAGTCATCTTTCAGGCCTTATGTTTTGAAGAATGCTATTATCTACAAAAACAGAGAGAATACAAAAATAGCTGTTGTACAGAATATGGCACATGTTTTCTTTTATTTGTGTTGTTTATAATCATTCTAATGAAGAAAAGTGGTTTTCTGATTATATTTTTTTGGTTTGGTTTGGTTTTAAGGGTTTTTTTTTTGGGGGGGGCGGGCTTTTTTTGGTCTATTTCACCCAGGATGCACTTTTCTGGCCTTTCTCAAGACTCTCTCATTCTTTTTTTTTTTTTTCTAATTTTCTAGTTTTTATACATGAAATAAAATATTCAACTTTACCAATATTAATCAAGTATAGAAATTTTTGTTTTTCTTTTTAGCTGTGTTCATAGTGAACTTTAAAGATGTGCACTCTGTCTGCCTTATTTTCTAGTTTATAGGTTGAAAACTGGATTTGTGTATGTGTGTGTGCCAACCTTGGGACTTGAACTCAGTGCCTGGGCACTATCCCTGAGCTTTTTTAGCTCAAGGGTAGCATTCTACCATTTGAGCCACAGTTCTGCTTCCAGCATTTCTGGGATAGTTAATTGGTGATAAGAGTTTCATGGACTTTCCTGCCTGGGCTGGCTCAGCCTCCTGAGTAGCTAGTAATACAGGCATGAGCCACTGGTGCCCAGAATACTTTTTTTGATAGGTCTGAGGGTTGAACTCAGTGCCTTATACTTGTTAAGCCAACACTCTACCACTTGAGCTACAAAAATGAATTCTTGTAGGAATTCTTACCTTATCACAGAGCATGGCCTACATGTGGGAACTGTATTCTTTTTCTTTTTCCTTTTCTTTTTTTTTCTTTTTTTTTTGGGGGGGGGGGGGTCTGGTCGTCAGGCCTGAACTCTGGGCCTGGGCACTGTCCCTCAGCTCTTCAGCTCAAGGTTAGCGCTCTACCACTTGAGCCACAGAGCCACTTCCAGCTTTTTTCTTTTTGCTTATGTGGTGCTGAGGAATCGAACCCAGGGCCTCAGGCATGCAAGGCAAGCACTCTACCACTGAGCCACATTCCCAGCCCGGGAACTGTATTCTTAAAACCCTGCCTGCATGTGAATTCCACACAAAGTGGTTCTGGGTCTTCTGTATTTGCTATTGGTCAGCTTCTATGTAGATGTTGGTAACACAGAGGGTCATTTGAAGGACTCTACTAGCACATTCTCTAAGACAGAGTGAGAGAATAGTTTCAGTTATATAGACATAGATATATAGATATAGATCATCCTGTAAAAGCTGATGAACACCATAGTCTCGCAAGGATGTACAGAGACAAATCTCTAAAAGGAGTAGGTTTCTAAGAAAATGTCTTTCAGTGTGTTCCCTTTCTTCCTCAGGGAGCCACCTTCTGAAAACGGGACAAGTATCTATGGAGCTGGTGGCTTTATGCCTTATGGCTTTGCAGGAACATTGGCTGGTGCTGCAACGTGCTTTTATGCCTTTGTGGGGTTTGACTGCATTGCAACAACCGGTAAGAGCAGTACCTTAGCATTAAGTACAAGAAAGGAGTATTCCTTTTTATCACAGGAACACAGAATTGACAGACAGCAAAGGGTCAAGGACACAGGGCAGAAACTGGAATAAAAAAGATGGCAGTTCCGGATCCTCTTGTTATACCAGCTATATTGATTTAAAAAAATATGTTGGCTATCTGAGCCTTCGTTTCCATATTGGCAAAACCAGGAGAGCAGTACCTACTGCTCAGGGATTACAAGATTCCCTATGATAACAAACATACATGATATATATTTTGATTGAGGTCATAATTGCTGGTCATAATTGCTATCTTAGGCTGTCTGGAAAGGCTGTCACTTCCAGATGTTTTTCTTTTTAGAATATCTTTATTCAGACAGTGTCTAGTTCTTTTCTGTTTATCTAGAACAACAAAGAACTATTGCCTGTCTCACTGAGTTCTTATCATTGTATGGCCTTACTATTGACCATGTTTGGAGTTCTTTAAACATCAATCTTATTAGGAGACAAAGAATTCTGTTTCTTCCCAAATCTAGACTTTCACATAAATAGACAAAATAAGTTGCTCTGAAGCTTGGGTGTCTGAGGGCCTACAGAGTGCCTCTGACTCTGCCGTCCTCTCTCCAAACACTTGAGTGTTGATGGTTTTTTTTCCCTCTGGAAATGGGAAGCTGACTTACTGGAATACTTCCCACTGGGAATTGGATACATATGTTAATGGAAAGTAACTTCAAAGAGAGAAGAGAAATTTCATGTAAAATAAGTAGATCAAGCTGAGGAAACAGAAGGGACCAAAGCCAAGTAGAATGACCTTGGAGGAGAGGAAGATTGTGATTCACATTAAATTCTTTAGCTAGTAACGATTTATTAAACATGCAAATCTTTTGTTTATGTTTCTTCAGGTGAAGAAGTTCGGAATCCCCAGAAGGCTATTCCTATTGGAATAGTGACTTCTTTACTTGTTTGCTTTATGGCCTATTTTGGGGTCTCTGCAGCTTTGACACTTATGATGCCATACTACCTCCTCAATGAGAAAAGTCCCCTTCCTGTGGCATTTGAATACGTTGGATGGGGTCCTGCCAAGTATGTGGTTGCTGCAGGCTCCCTGTGTGCATTGTCAACAAGGTACATCACATTGTCTTTGAGCAGGAGCTGTTTGGGTTTCTGCAAAGTGTATCAATGTCTGAAAAAAAAATTGCTTTTGTGGGCTGTGGGTGTAGCTCAGTGGTAGACTGCTTGTCTAGCATGTGCAAGGTTTGATCTCCAACATCTTCCACAATATTACTTGTATTCTAAAAATATCTTAACATGAGGAACATATTATGCAGCTGTGTTCTCACTGAATCGTTTGCCCAGAATTTCTGTAAAAATCTGAAGTGATAAAAAAATTTCTCCCATCAGTTAAGCCTCAGATTTTTCAAGATAATGATGGTCCAAGCTTTAGTGGAAATATGTGTAACAATGATGCACAAACATCTATACCACATTTATTCAATCATGTATGCATTATAACACTTTGCGATCTTGTGCTAGTATGATTCTCAGATGGTTTGGGGTTACTTAAATTGCTTCAGACAGTCTGACACATGCTTTCCATATTGTTTACAGACTTCACATTTTCTGTTCTTTAATACTGATTCTGTACAGATGACAGCTGTATGCTGTGCCATTTTTTAAATATAAAGGTTCTCTTTATTGTGAACCATTGAGACTTTGTTCTCAGCACCAATGAGAATGAACATTGTAGATCAGAAAGTATTATTTTCACCTTAGAAGTAGAAATTCATATCGTGTTGATATGAAAAGTGTTCAGATCTCCAGGAGCTGTTTGTTTAATACATTGAGACTATAGCTCAGAAATGTGAACTACTCACATTTCCAATTAACGCATAATTATAAGTAAGACATTTTATTCTAGTTTTGAACCCTACTACATGGTAGAATAGTCTCACAAAGAGACTATCCCTGATCACTAATTTTTTTACTTGAACTTTTTGTCTGAAATTTGAGAAATCTTTTAACATAATTCATCCACCTAGATTTATTTTCTAGTCAAAATATTATTAAGTGGCTGTTAGCAGTCACCCATGTATGTTTCTTAAGCATCTACTGGTCATTGGGATTATTTTAAAGAACTATGCGTAGTTTGAGAAGTTTCAACTGTAAGGACACTGCCACCTTGGTTTAAGAAGGGGTGGGTAAAAATTTGCTTTTGGCCAACTTCAGTTCAGCTTTATTAGCTAAAGAAACTGGACCTTAAAATATGTCATTTATTTTCTCTTAGTTATTTCTCACAACATAATCATATATGAAATGGGAGAGTTAGTGAACACAGTAATTAAAAACATTTCAAGCAAAAATCATTTAGTTAAACATTACTATTACTAATTTTCATTGTGGCTACTTCTCCATTCTAAATTTACAGTAAGTTCATTTTTTTTAACCTCTTACTACATCTTATGATGCTGGGAATTAATAATTTAATCAAATAATTTAATCATTCTATGTAACAAGATAATGGCAATCTAAAAATACAGTATTATTAAAAAAAGAAATGACTGATAAAATTGCTTCCTTTCTTTGCTAATTACATATTAATTTATGAATTTAATCTATTGAATTATTGCCACTAAAATATCTTAATGATATTGGTTTGTCTTTTTACAAAATTTAATTACTGTGTTTTAATTCATTGATAATCATAGGTACATACAAATGGTGTGCAGTATTGATAATTTAGCTGGGCAAATACCTGCAACAGAATGAGTAATCGTATTAGCAGGCATTTTAAATGTCCATTCAGAGTGCATTTTTTAAATGATGTGACTTCACAATCACAGCTACTGTGTTGAGTTTTACATAATTACTTATTTTGATTCTGGGTGTAATCTTGCATGAATGTGTTTGCCATACTGCATGTCTTTGCTTTTTATTCAGTCTTCTTGGATCCATTTTCCCAATGCCTCGGGTAATCTATGCTATGGCGGAGGATGGGTTGCTTTTCAAATGTCTAGCTCAAATCAATTCCAAAACGAAGACACCAATAATTGCTACTTTATCATCCGGTGCAGTGGCAGGTGAGAGAGAGTTGACTTTTATTAAGAAAAGGGGGATTTCTTTTCCAAAAAGGACTCTGGAAAAAAAAAATAACAAGTTAGGGTTGTCTATTGTGATGTACATTAAGTGTGATAACTTCTTTGTGACTGTATCCTGTTGTGAACATTTTGGTTCTGCATGTGTTCAGTCTTTACCTGTATATATAGCTTTCTAGGGTACTATTTAAAATAACTCACATGTGGATTATGAATTTTTCTGTTCTAGTCTTCTGGGCTCTATGTTTCCTTTACCCCGAATTCTGTTTGCCATGGCTCGGGATGGCTTACTGTTTAGATTTCTTGCCAGAGTGAGTAAGAGGCAGTCACCTGTTGCTGCCACGCTGACTGCTGGGGTCATTTCTGGTAAGCTTTATACACATAGGCTTCGACATTGGACTGGAACGTTTGGTGTGCATGCATGGACTCACACAAAGGGCCTGCATGCTCTGCATGTAAGTTAAGAACACAATCATGGAACAATTACAACTATTGGCATTAACATCTGACAATTGTGGTGAAGGTAATGTAGTGAAATTCATTCTTAACCAATCCTATGTAATTTTCTACTGTTTCATTATTTTAATTATTTGGGCTTCTAACAAATACATGTAGGGTTGTAACGATTCTTCAATATATACCAGGGATTGCTTTTTTGATGATGATTGAGCTCAGGAAATTTTACTTGAATAATTATACTTAACTTTGGAAATACTAATTTAGAACCAATGACTAGAGTTTTTGAATAGCTAAACTTGACCCATTCTTCTCCAATATGAGAATTGTCATAGAGAGATAACTTATAGTTGACCGTGATGCCCAGTGTGGTGGGCATCTTTCTTTTTTGGACATTGCAGGTGGCTTAGATATAGACTTAGGTCCTCTCCAGCCCTTAGGAACCTAGTCATCCTTTCAGCGAATGGGATGTGTAAATTAGTTATCCAATCCAGACTGACTGCATTCTGGCATACCTTAACATCTCAGTGAAGTGTCTTTGATCAGAAAATTTCTGACTTGTAGAAACTTTCAGGGATTCTATCCATTTTTAAGAATGGTCTTAAAAGGTACTGCTATAGGAAACAAATGAAACCTTGACAGACTTTGTCCATATACAAAAAAATTACCCAGTCTTCACATAGAAATTCAAATCAAAATGCTAATTTTGTTGAGGCTCTAAGATGTTGGGAAATTAGTTTAGTTTAAATAAATTCATTTAAGAAGTTAGTTTAAATAAGAAGTGGGATTTTTTTCAGGACCAGAAAATATTTGCCTAAACAACTTTACTTTGCAAATATTTTCTAATAAGGCTAACACTCAATGAGATGAATCTTAGAGGGTTAAATCACTTGTTTTCTCTGGTTTATATTTTTGTCTCCATAAGATGAAGATTGTGTCAGATGACCTGAGCTCATATTATTATTTAACAATGTATTATGATATCAAAAATAGTTCATAATATAAATGTTTCTTGGCAAAGAATCATGTATTTTATTTAGTCCCTAAAAACTTTTCCTTTTTCCATTTAAAAGTTCCCAATAATTTTACTTTGCATTCAGAATTTTAGAAAGTTACAAGTAATTTAACCTTCTCCTTCATTAAAGAAGTGTGTCATTTCACAAAATAATAAGATTGAAATTTTTAAAGATAATTAAATGGAATGCTTTTTAATCCTCCTTTTTTTTCTCTTTCTTTTTTGTCAGTCATGGGGCTGGAACGCTGGGCCTGAGTCCTGTCCCTGAGCTCTTCAGCTCAAGGGGAGCTCTCTAGCACTTAAGCCACAGCATGACTTCTGGTTTTCTGGTGGTTAATTTAAGATGAGAGTCTCATGGACTTTCCTGCCTGGGCTGATTTTGAACCATGATCCTCAAATCTCAGGCTCCGGAGTAGCTAGGATTACAGGCGTGAGCCACCGGTGCCAGCTTTAATGTTCCTTTCATGTTTATTTTTACTCTCACACTTTTTTTTAACTTAGGTCAGATAGCTTAAATGAACAATTGATCCTTTTTCTTTTCCTGGATACCTTTTTATACTGTCCATAATGCTTACAAAGCATCCAAAGTTTCAATAATTTAATATATTAAAGGGTTTTCTTTTGGTCAGGCATGGGGCCTGAACTCTGGGTCTGGGCACTGTCCCTCAGCTCTTCAGCTCAAGACTAGCGTTCTACCACTTGAGCCACAGTGCCACTTCTGTCTTTTTTTCTGCTTATGTGGTGCGGAGGAATTGAACCCAGGACCTCATGCATACAAGTCAAGCACTCTACCACTGAGCCACCTTCCCAGCACTATACTGAAGGGTTTTCAAAGTGAGATGTATAGTGTATAAGGAAAAGGTGTGTTATTGTAACAGGATTGGGAGATGTTGGTTTAGATGCCCTGTAATGTGATTATAGTCCTGAAAAGTTAACCTATCTATAAATCTAGATGGCCAGAATATGAATTTTGGGTCACAGATAGTCAAATTGTTTATTTATTTAGGCCACTTTACATTGATAAAGCAAAACAATTTCTCTTGTCTTTTGGAGTCGTTGCCTTGGTGATAAAGTAAAACCATAGGTAAATAAAACTTGCCAAGGAGATAAGAACATCATGTAAATAGAATATAGTATGATCTACTTAACATTAAAGTATATTTTTTTATTTTAATAGTAAAATGTATTTTACCTCCTGCTGAGTGTTTGGTGTTCAGGACCAAAAACTGATTGTTCACATCTCACTATTCTATCTGGAATATGTAGCTTTCACCACAGTAGAATCTAGTCTAGTCTCTATGTAAAACATAACATTGTCAAAGTTACGCTAAAATTTTTGAGTTGTAGCTAGGCACTAGTGGCTTATATCTGTAATCCTAGCTACTTAGAAGGCTGAGATTTGAGGATCTCAGTTTGAAGCTAGCCTTGGCAGGAAAGTCGATGAGACTCTTTATCTCCAAATGACCACCAAAAAGCTGGAAGTGGAGCTTTGGCTCAAATAGTTGAAGACTAGCCTTGAGCACAAAAGCTTAGGGACAGCACCTAGGCCCTGAGCTCAAGCCCCAAGACAGGCATGAAAAAAGATTTGAATAGTATATGATAGAACAATGTAGATGGAAATTAAAATGATTGCATGCCTTCTGTAATAAAAACTGAAACTTTTTATGATTTCAAAAAATGAACAGTCTGGGGCTGGGAAGGTGGCTCAGTGGTAGAGCGCTTGCCTTGCATGCATGAAGCCCTGGGTTCAATTCCTCAGCACCACATAAGCAAAAAGAAAAAAGCCAGAAGTGGAGCTGTGGCTCAGTGGTAGAGAGCTAGCCTTGAGCTGAAGAGCTGAGGCACAGTGCCCAGGCCCAGAATTCAGGCCCCACGACTGGACCCAAAAAAAAAAAAAAAATGAACAGCCACTATTTTTAACATTTTCTTCTGAAAATGTCAAAGAATAGTATTCTGTCGAATCACATTTTTACTCTTTGGCCAAATATGTTTTAAGCAATCAAAATAGATATATTTTGTGCTTGCTAAAGGTTTTTGAAGTCATGCTGGCAGTTGGTATCACTTAAAGAATAGCTTAAAACTTAGGAGAGGTATTCTTTGTAGATTTTAATTTGTCATTGTACCACAAGAGAAAATGTGAGTCAGCTGTCTCTGACTTTAAAGGGATTAATTCTATTCTATAAGATGTTATCAGAGGTCCTTGGCTTCACATTTCCTTTCATCTTTCCCCCTCAATAGCTGTGATGGCATTTCTTTTCGACCTGAAGGCCCTTGTGGACATGATGTCCATTGGCACCCTAATGGCCTATTCTCTGGTTGCAGCCTGTGTCCTCATTCTTAGGTGAGTTGCCAATGGTGGGTCAGGTGCGGCACAGGAAATAAAGACAATGAGGGCTTACCATCTTCCTGGCAGGGAGCTAGCAGTATTACCAAGGTGAATGGCCCAATGTATTCAAAACACCCATAGAAAGTATAAGAAGATAGGGCCTTTAGCAAAATAATTAAGTATAATTTAATCATTTACTCAGTCTGTCAATGGCAATTTTTATAATGCACAGAGAATTAAAATACTATATATCTCAATATTTTAGTACTAAGACTTTACCCTGAAGATGAAATGATAGAGGCAAACATAAATATAAAAATCTTTGTGGAATTAAAGAAATAATTGTCTGGGGCAGGGAAGGTGGCTTAGTGGTAGAATGCTTGCCTTTCATGCATGAGGCCCTCGGTTCCATTCTTAGCACCACATAAGCAGAAAAAGCCAGAAGTGGCACTGTGGCTCAAGTAGTAGAGTGCTAGCCTTGAGCTGAAGAGCCCAGGCCCAGAGTTCAGGCCCCAAAACAGACCAAAAAAAAAAAGTTGTCTATTTAGGAGAATAGTTTATTTAGGAGACTGCTTAGAGAAGATTCTTCTACAACAAACAAAATGATATTCATACAGATAAATATGTCCTTTTCAGGATATAAAGCTATATGTAGCATTTTGAATTTATTTAAATGCCATAAACTCTTATAAATAAAAAACTTTTATAAAGAAATAATACACACACACAATGTTAATAGTGCTGAATGCTGAGTAGTGGGTGATTTTAATTTCCTTCTTTGCTCTTTTGTGAATTTATTCTGAGTGAACATACTTCTTTATATGGAAGGAAAATGAAAATATTACTTTGTAAAATAAATGATAGCTACTCAGTAGAAGAAGCTGCATTGGGGAGACTGGGACAGAGTAGGGGATAAGCAGGCTAATGTATTATTACACAAGCTATAAGAGTTACTGTAAGCTAAAGAAGAGGAGTGATATGTATGTCGTAGGGAGGTAGCAGAGTGACTTGAGGATCTTGTCTACATTAAACTGGAGGAGTCCAGTTGGAATGCTGAGGGAAAGGAGGCAGGAGAGACAGGCTATGGTGAAGCTATGGGATCCCAAACCAGAGAGAGATGATGTTACACTGTAGCTGATGGTTAGCCAGTGTTACTGTACCACCTTCAGGATCTTCATTTTCTTTTGGGGCATAATCATCCTATTTCACAGTTGCCTCACCTTAAAGTGTAATAGGTATAGTTTTTACTTTTGATTTTTGCATCTATTGTGTAACTTTATAATTTAAGTGGCTATCTGTGGCAATTTTAGAGCAGCTGCAGATAGTTTATTGAAAGGGATTTGTGTAATTTTCTAATTAAGTGGCTATCTGTGGAGATTCTGAACAGCTGCAGATAGTTTATTGAAAGGGGTTGTGGCCTGGCTCGGCATACTGTGGGATTAGAATTATGAGAATTGACACTTGATTATTCATAATGTGACTTTGTAGCATGTCTGTTTCATTTGGGCCAAGTGCCTATTTGGGAATAAAGACACAAATTTTTATTTGTCCTAGGTACCAGCCTGGTTTATGTTATGAGCAACCTAAATACTCCCCTGAAAAGGAAGGCCTGGGATCATGCGACAGTGCAGGTTCAAAAAGTGACTCTCAGGTCACCATGCTGCAAGAACAGGGCTTCAGCCTAAGAACCCTCCTCAGCCCCTCAGCTCTGCCTACGCGGCAGTCAGCATCTCTCGTGAGCTTTCTGGTGGGATTTCTGGGTACGTCTTCATCACTACAGATATTGCAAAGACCCAACAGATGTGTGTAGGTGGAGCCAGTATAATACGTACAAAAGAAGACAAAAAAGACTTTAAAATATGCTAGCAGGAAACCTGAGTCCTAGCCAGAGTTATACCTACAGACTCAGTAGTAGTTCAGATCATGTTTATACTACTGAGACATTTGTCATATCTTGGTCATTGAAGAAGAAAGGAAGAAATTCTCAACAGTAAGAGTAGCAGAAGGACAAACTGGCATGCTTTGTTAGTTGTTAAGATGCTGTCTTTGTGAAAGGATTTAGTTGAGTGCACCAGCTCGTATTGGAATTAGAACCTGATGGGGTTGGGAGGTTCATAGGAAATCCATCTTTGCTCACCAAAGAGCATAGATCCAAGACCATAGATTTATGGAGCACAATCTGTGTGCTAGCCATTCTGCTGGAACATGGGACATCAATACAGTTGTCCTTTGCTCTCAAGGAGCTTCATGGTATAATATTATCGGGAAGCTGGGGAAGGGCAGGTTTCTGAGAATAAGAAGAAGGGACCTCTAATAGAAGGGACCTCAAAATATTATATATATGTATAAATACTTCCTCTGTGTGTTGGTTTTCTGAATTGTTTCTTTAAGAGACAGAGACAGAGAGCCTAGCAAAGTGTGATATCATTGCCTAAGATACAGATGCAAGGTGAAGATCACATATTTGTCCTCATTAGGAATGTGTGTTTTAATAATCAGACTTGCCATTTCTCATTTGAAAAGCAGCAAAAGGGCAGAACAATGTCTGTCAGCCTATTTGATAGTCTGAGGATGGCAAATGAGAACCCAGACACAATGCAGTGAGAGTAGGTATGTAGTGGTTGACATCTCTAAGAACACAAGCAGTGTTTCTTAAGTCAGTGGAAAAGACAATCTCTTCACAATTAAAATGAAGAATCCAGTTTTAGCAAAGTAGATATGAATTAGAACTTGTTTCATTCTAGACCATTAGAACTGAGGAGGCTGAGGGAAGTGTGTTTGCTGACTCTGACTTCTATACCTCCTACTTTCGCAGCATTTCTCGTGTTGGGCCTGAGTATTCTGACCACTTACGGAGTCCAGGCAATTGCCAGGCTAGAGGCCTGGAGCCTTGTTCTTCTCACACTGCTGCTTATTCTCTGCATCACCATCATCCTCATCATTTGGAGGCAGCCACAGAATCAGCAAAAAGTAGCCTTTATGGTAAATGGAATAAGAATTAGGGATCTAAATATTATATATATGTATAAATACTTCCTCTGTGTGTTAGTTTTCTGAGTTGTTTCTTTAAGAGAGACAGAGACAGAGAGCCTAGCAAAGTTAACCAATGAATAAGACTATCAAAACTTGGACAGGTTCCTTTTGATCACCATATTCTCTCTCCACATTGGATGTCTTACTCATCTTCTCAAATACTAGAGTGTGCTCCTTACACAGTATTTGTATATGTAATAGGTAGAAAGTAATTAAGTAATTTCTAAAATTAAAATCTAATGTCAGGCCAGGCATAGTGACTTACACCAACTATTTTAGAGGCAGAGATTAGGACATCTCATGATTCTAGGCCAGTCCAGACAAGAAATTAGTGAAATCCTTGTCTCAACAAATAACCCAGGTGTGATGCTACACAGTGAGTATGGGTAGGAGGGATGCAGTCTGAGGCTGGAGAATTGCAGTCTCAGCCTGGCTGTAGGCAAAATGAGAGACCTTGCCTGAAAAATAAATGAAGGGAAAAAGGACTGAGACTGTGGCTCAATCCTAGCAAGAGTACCTGTTGTGCCCCACATTCAAACCCCAATACCTCACAACAAAAAGAGAAAAGAAAGGAACAGGGGAAGGACGGAGCTTGGGAGAGAGAATGAATATGAATATTTCTCTACCAATTCCCCGTCCACTAGCAGTTAAACTGTCCTGTTGTCCTGCCCCATTAGAACGAGCAACAGGCCAGTGCTTTGTGACAGTATCACCTGGGATATATCTATATCTAGATTTCCAGAAGTATCTCATTATTGTCTGAACTAGACCAGCAAATCCCGGACTAAACTGATCCACAAGCCCAATTGTATCTTGGTATTAACAGGTTCAGTAAATCTGTTGATTCAGGAGCATCAACAAATAATCTGAATTATATTCTTGTAACAGTTTCTAGAAAAAGAATGGTCTGATTCAAGTTGTCCTGTTTGTGAGATACAAGATTATTGATGCAGTATGCGAAATTAATTGCTGCCATCTTGGGGAAATGTGCACTCAAAGCATGAATATGTTCAAAAAGATGTTTTCCCTCCTTAGGTTCCATTTTTACCATTTTTGCCAGCATTGAGCATCCTAGTGAACATTTACCTGATGGTCCAGCTAAGTGCAGATACTTGGGTCAGGTTCAGCATTTGGATGGCACTTGGTAGGTCTTTTAATGCATTTAGCTTTCTCAACTCTAGTCCTCTCTTCCCTATTTCTGGAAGTAAAGGCTTTTTTTCAGATTCTTTCTAACCCCGTTTGTGGTATTTGTAACACTTTTCTAGATGTTTTTAGATACCATTTGTTTTTTCATTTTGGGATGTTAGTATCCAACCCAGGGTCTCACACTTGCTAGGCACTAAGCTCCATCTCCCAGCCCTTAAAAGACCATTTTAATTCAAATCTCCCATTAACCTTGAGAATCACACAGGTTCTATTCTCTCACTTGTGGGTGAGAGGAATGAATTCTCACCTAGTTCTACATGAACTAAAGCTAAGCTACCTTAACATGGCAAAATGACTATGACCAAGGAATTATCTTCTTTGTCTCCTGGCTCCCCAGTTAGCAGTTATTTTACACCCAGCTTTGTGTCCTTTCCTAGTTATAGTGACATGTGGAAGTCATGTCCCTGTTCCCTTCATTACCATAGAATATGCTTTTCAAAATACCTTACTATGACTCTGATAATGCACCACTTGTATAGGATATGCATATTACTTGGTTTGACTTTGGTAATCTATGATTTTTTCTTATTAATGTCTATATTAAGATTTCTGGGCACTGGTGGCTCATGCCTATAATCCCAGGTACTCAAGAGACTTGAGATTTGAGGATCACAGTTCAAAGCCAGCCCAGTCAGGGAAGTATATGAGATTAGTATCTCTAGCCACCAAAAGAAAACAAAAAATTTGTTTCAAATAGTTATTTTCTGACATGCCCAAAACATGAATTTTTTTTTCCTCCCTACAAAGGTTTCCTGATTTACTTTGCTTATGGCATTAGACACAGCCTGGAAGGTAACCCAAGGGATGAAGATGATGATGAAGATGCTTATTTAGACAACATTAATGCAGCAACAGAAGAAAAGTCTGCCATTCAAGCAAGTGACCACCACCAAAGAAATCTTAGTTTACCTTTCATATTCCACGAAAAGACAAGTGAATGCTAATGCTTGCAAGAACAGATCTGATCTAGTCTTACATTGCCTACCCTGAGTGAACGCTTGCAGCAGGTTGTCATCAGGTTGCATTGTCATGGGTTTGCTGCACACATAGTTCACCCTAACTTATACTTTCTTGTTTGGACTGCATCTCCTCAGATGGTGAATTATATGGCCAAGGGAGCCTCCTGATCTCCCTCAGTGATGAATACCCCCAAATTAGTATGAGTGTGCGTATGTCTGTATATGCTTGGGAACTTGAATGTTACAAAGTTAGTTGTTGTACTATTATTGTGTATCTTTATTCCAGTGTTGTCATAATGGGTGGCATGTGCTGCATATACTAAAATAGAGAGAAATCACTGAATAGGAAAGTGTTCTGCATATGTCCTGTGCAATTGGGCAGTGGTCGCTTTTCTCTAGTAGGCTCACTTGTCTTTTAATTTAGACAAGCTTGAAATGCAGTTAGCCATTATGGCATCTGTTACTGGTCAGGAGGAAGAGGAAGGGAGAAGAAATGAGCCTTTTCTTTAAGTTATAGGTGCCAGCAGTGGCTTTAATATACATTTTCCCCTATTTGGCATGACAGTTTATGAAAACTTAGCCAGTAGAAGCATTTATTTCTCCTGTACTACACAGAGTAGAAAGCATCCTGTACTCTACCCTGTAGGATCCCTGGTAACTTGTCTATGGACTAACAGCCCTGCAATGTGACTCCTCTACCTGCTGTGAGTTCTACAACTCCATCATCCAACCAGTAGCTCAAGGGGAGTACTAGGATTTCCTGATTTCCTGGGGTCCCTAAAGCTATCTGGAGCATGAAGGTGGTTCCTATGATCCAAAAGCAAGTGTAGATAGTCATGACAAGGATGTGCTTGAAAATTTAGACATACGCTCAGACAAGTAGACACTAGATTTCATGTTTATTTTTTTAAAAAGAGTCAAGCCTGGTGCTGGTGGCTCATGCCTGTAGTCCTAACTACTCAGAAAGCTGGGAGCTGAAAATCATGGTTCAAAGCCAGTCTGGGCAGGAAAGTCCATGGGACTCTTTATCTCTACTAAATTACCAAAACAGCCAGAAGTGGAGCTTTGGCTCACATAGTAGAGCCCTAGCCTTGAGCAAAAAGAAACTCAGGAGCAGCACCCAGGCCCTGAGTTCAAGCATAGGACTGGCAAAAAAAAAAAAAAAAAAAAGTCAGTTATAATAGGCCAGTATAATCTCACAACTCGCACAACTGGTAGAATGAATCATACTTTTTCCATTACTTAACATTAATCACAAGTTAGCTTTCTTAACCTCACCACACAGAATTCACTCCTTTGTTTCTGTATTTTGCCTTATTCTGGATGTGAAGGGATGAAATAGAAATTTCTACTTTTATAGCACACAAAAGAGGAAGAGCTGGGCGCCAGTGACTCACTCCTGTAATCCTAGCTACTCAGAAGGCTGAGATCTGAGGATCACGGTTCAAAGCCAGCCAGGGGAGGAAAGTCTGTAAGACTCTTATCTCTGATTAACCACCAGAAAACTGGAAGTGGTGTGGTGGCTCAAGTGGTAGAGTGCTCACCTTGAGCTGAAGAGCTGAGGGACAGCATCCAGGCCCAGATTCCCCATGACCGACCAAAAAAAAAAGAGGAAAAGATGGAGGAATGTAAAATTCCTCATTCAAATATTAAAGTGCCAAATTAATTAATTAATAATATGGCCCAATGTAGAAATGTTTAGGGTTACCCCACCCATGTGACATTTAGCACTTTTTATTTTATTTGCTTTTAAATGTCCACACTATCTATTAAAAATAAGCTCTGATACTCTACATTTGCATCAATAAGTAGAAAAATATTTTGCTTGGGGGCTGGGAAGGTGGCTCAGTGGTAGAGCGCTTGCCTTGCATGCATGAGGCCCTGAGTTCGATTCCTCAGCACCACATAAGCAGGAAAAACCTGGAAGTTGGCGCTGTGGCTCAAGTGATAGAGTGCTAGGCCTTGAGCTGAAGAGCTGAGGGACAGCGCCCAGGCCCAGAGTTCAGGCCCCACAACTGACCAAAAAAAAAAAAAAAGAAAGAAAAATATTTTGCTTAAGAACATGATTACTTCAAGCTAATATAATTAAATTGAATTAAAGCTATAAAACAGTAACATTTATATGTGACTAAATACATTTTTATGTGTAGGATTCTCTGCTGTGTTTTACTCTATAGCATTTTCTGATGGTGGATTATTTATGTGCAGTCTATTTTGCTCCTCATGAGCTAACTTTTATACAAATAACTAAATGATTTATTAGATGACACTGGAGGCATGTGGGTGACACTCCCAGAATTCCATGGTAAATGTCACCAAACATACTGGTTGACCTGTATGATCCTCTGGCAGTTCTTCTAAAAGGTCATTTATCTTCTTGGTGCCATTAAAAGCAAGTTTGCAATTGTTTTTTGTGACCATGTTTTTGTTGTGACTAAGTATGAAATGAATAGGTAGAAAGCCAGAGTCTCTGGCTGCTGGTGGAGTAGCATCCCTAACACAGAGCTCATTTCTGACATTCCATGATTTCTAGGGTGCACATGATAAAATCTGAAGCCCAGAATTCTCTAACTAACTGCTATTTTGTTGAGAAAGAGGTGTTGAATAAGCCAGGAGTAATATATTTGTATGAGGACTGTGGGCATGATCATAAATCCTTAGTTACAGCAGTACACTGAGAACTCCTTTTGTCTGTAATCAAACTAGGATAGACAGTTCACACAAGAAATGTGAACAATATTTAAACTTTTACTGTAACAAAATCAAGAAATTTACTTAGAATGTGATAGGCAGCTAAAACTGTTGTGCCTACTGTGTCCAATTAGAAGCAGAGTATAGTTAAATTTTTTTTTTTTAACCAGCGATTCACAAACACAAGTATCTGTGGAGAAAGGCTTTGTCAGGGATCATGCTGGCCTTTTGTTTTCTGTGTAGACTCAAACAGATAGGTGTTTGTATGTATGTAAGTACATTTACGTATGTATGGGTGAGTGTGTATTTTTTGGGTCCCAAAGTGCATCCTTCAGATGTCAATGTATAAGTAAGTTGTGTTTATGATGGGCTTTGGTTGTGATATTGTTATGTGGATTAAAACCCACTGTTGTGGGGAAAAAATAATATTTTATTATGGGTAGATATTTTAGTTTTTAAGCTATTTTAAAATATACAACAATTTTATATGTTCTATAGAGTCTTTAAGTATTTATCATGTTTCTAATATTAAATCACTGAACTCTAATGTATTGAAACAGGTGCTTCATAATCTGAGTAAGGGTGGGGACGTTGGGATGTTTCTGTTGACTTGTTTCTGTTATACCTTTTCAGGCACCTGCCCTGAGGTGTGCTTATTAGCAGCAGCCAGTGCTATGTCCGCTCTTCCCCCTTTTTGTTCCTGTATTTGAATTTATAACTCTTTGAACAAAACATTGTTTTTACTTATTTTAGGTTCACCAAATGTTTGTAGAGATTTGATTAATAATCCGTCAAACATAAATAAGGTCCTCTCCAAATAGATTAATGAAACCCCTTAAAATTATGGACAAAAATTCACAAGGAAACCCTTTTTACAATTAATATATTCTGATTTTTAAAAAAAAGAAAGAAAAGCTAGTACCAGTAGCCTTTGCCTGTAATTCTAGCTACTCAAAAGTCTGAGACCTGAGTACATGGTTCAAAGCCGGTCTAAGCAGAAATGACTCATCTCCCAACTAATCACCAAAAAGCTGAAAGTAGGACTGTGGTTCAAGTGGTCGTGCACCAAAGAGCTAGGAGAAAAAGACTAAAGGACAGCACCCAGGGCCTGTGTCTAAGCCCCAGTACAGGCAGTACCAACCTTACATTTATGGAGATGGCTTTGCAAACTCAAGCTAAAAACTCTTCTAAAAACTTTAGAAAAATTTAGTAGAATATTTACTAAACCATGGATTATTACATTGTCAGCAAAACTAAGATTTAAATGTAATTTTTATATGTGTATCAGTTGACATATAAAACTAATATTGAAACTAACACTGGTAACTAAACTTCACTATTACCACCCCCAGTTGATAGAAGATGCCTGTTCCCAAATTACCTTGCTTTTAAGGGGTAAGAATTTATCTTCTTTCAATTTTAATGAGATGTTTTTAACTTCTTGAAAAAGTATTAGTGAAACTATTTTTCAAGTCCTGCTTGTTCTCAGGAGTTGAGTTAAAAGAAATTTTCAGTAAAAACTGTGAACTGGAGTCCATTTTCACCAAACTGTTTTCTAAAATGATTTGAATACTTAGCTGGAAAAGAAAGAGAAGTAATTAATGACGACAGAAAAAGGCTGAACCTCATCTTATCTGCATTTTTTTGTTTTTTGTTTTTTGCCTACTCAGGGCCTGGGCACTGTCACTGAGCTTCTTTTGCTCAAGGCTAGCACTCTACCACTTGAGCCATAGCACCACTTCTGGCATTTTCTTTTAGGTAGTACTGAGGAATTGAACCCAGGACCTCATGCATGCTAGGCAAGCACTCTACCACTAAGCCACATTCCCATCCCTCTTCTCTCCTCTTAAAGCTGTTTATAAATAAATGATTTGTTGTCATTTTTTTTAAATCGGGGCATGTTCCAAGATTACATAATACATGATGAGTAGCACCAAGATTCCAGCTCTCCATCACTTTCAAAGTTGCTCGTTGATGACTCCTGATATGATTCAAATAACAGCCTTAAAAACTTCCACAGGACAATAGTGGCTCATACCTATAATCCTAACTACTCAGGAAGCTGATATCTGAGAATCATGGTTCAAAGCCAGCTTAGCTTGGGCAGGAAAGTCTGTGAGACCCTTTAATCTCCAGTAAACTACTAAAAAGCCAGAGGTGGAGCTGTGGCTCAAGTGGTAGAGCAGTAGCCTTGATCAAAAGAAGCTCAGGCCCTGAATTAAATAAAGACCCAGAACCAGCATAAGTAAATAAATAAATAAATCCCTTAGGATTAAAGTATACATCATTTACTATTAAAATTTACCTAATTAGTGTGGGGATTTGGGATGGGATGAGGAAAATGGGCTATCCTTTTTGCTAATGCCAAACAGTGCCTTTTTCTGTATATTGCCTACATTATGAAATTCTCTTACATTTTCTTATGTATCAAGGGGAAAATAGTGAAGTTTATATAGTAAATAGTGCCAGCAAGGGTAATTTTTTTGTCATATAGATGTGAAAATATGATTGTTTGACTTTGTATTTAGACTAGTTTTTTCTTATATAATTATATTTAAACACTTAAAAATAGCTTCCTGATTTCTGGATTTTATGAGACTTCATCTGTTATTGTTGTATTGTTGGTTTGGACATTGGTTTTTCTAGTATTTGTCATTGTTTGTATTTACACAGCTTAATCTTATTGGTTTCAAATGAATTTTATTATGGCTAAATCTACTTTGTATGCCTATAATCCAGCTACTCCAGAAGCTGATCTGAGAATCATAGTTCAAAGCAAGCCTGGGCAGAGATTCTTGTCACCAGTTAGCCAGCAGAAAGTAAGAAGTGGAGCTGTGGCATAAGTGGTAGAGTACCAGCCTTGAGCAAAACAGCTAAATGAGAGTATAAGACCCTGAATTCAAACCCCAGTACTAGCACATTAAAAAGAAAAAAAAAAAAGACAATACTACTTACAGGGGGCACTCTACCTGGCTATTATTCATCATGGCTGAGCCACTGCCACAATCTCTGGGCTATAAAGAACTGCTGTGACCTCTGACAGTGGATATCATGACCGTCACCCCAGTCTGATTCCAGAGTCGGTCAGCTTGTAATATTGAGCACCCATATTGACCCATTGGTGTATCATTAGAATGCTAGGAAAGGGTTTGAAGTAAAATCTTCAAATGAAAGTAAGGTCATCTGGACTAACTTAATCTCTATTCCAAATATCCCTTGAGTATGTCAAGTTGAGGAAGGCCCAAGGAACATCAGCTATGGAAAGGTGCCTGCTTCTTGGAAGTGGCGCAGGAGGGCCTGCTTGCTGCATTCCCTGCATGGCCATAGGCAGCCTCAAGCCACAAAGTGTGTGGCCATGACACAGCTGGTAATGCGCTTTGGGTTGCCAGCGGGGTGGGTTTCTTTATTCCACACTCAGTTGTCCACTAGCAATGCCCCCATTGTTTGATTACTAGTTATCATTTACTTACCAAAAAGGGTTGATAAGGCCTAAACCCTATAGAAATTCTATGTCTGTAACAGCCAGCACATACATTGGACTTGTACAAATATAAAGAGTTTTTAGTAGATAATGTTTGAATGATAATCAAGGTTCCCTTTTACTTATAAAGTTGGATTCTTTTTTAGAATTTGTAATAAAAGCTATTTCTGCTTTAACTATTGTAAAATATCCTTTCTAATGTAACCCTGTATTTTTAAATAAACTTTAATATGACTTACAATTTAGTGTGAATGTGTACAACGCAAACCAAAAGCACACATGCCATACTTAAACACCTTTATTTTAATTTTGGGTTTTAGCTCATGAATCCAATATAATCTCCATGAAAATAACTTTTATTGTACGTATCTGGCAGCCTAGGACTTACTGTATGATTACCGTATCCTGTGAGATACAAAGAGATGTCATCACAGACCTGTCTTGTATCACATAAAATCTTGTTTCTGAGGCATGCTGCCCAAGATGGTACCGCTGAGCTCCAGTACTTGCACCCACTTGAGTAGTCCAGCCACCTTGTTGACATTGCTCTGATCTGCAAAGAGCTCATCAGTGTTCATCCCACCAAATCATATCCTGTTTAGTAGTTAGCTTTTCTGTCTCTGAAACAAAATACCTAAGAAAATAAAGCTTAATTGAGGGAAGTTGGTCCCTAGTCCCTTGGGCCTGTGGTAAGGCAGTTAATACATCAAGTAGAAGGGTATGGATGAAGAAAACTGCTCTGCTTGTAGCTAGGAAGGAAAGAATGACAGGAGAAAACAAGAAGAGGAGGGGGAAGAGGTATACCCTTCTGCAGTACACTAGTAGCTCATGTTTGTAATTCTAGTTACCCAGGCTAAGAATCAGCGGACACAGTTCCAAGCCAACCACAAGCAGGAAAGTAATGGACACCATCTCCAAAATAAGCAGAAAAGGACTAGGCTGGAGACACGGTCCAAGTGGTAGAGTACTAGCCAAGCAAACAAAGCTAAACAATCACAAAGCCCTGAATTTAAACATTGGTTACAGACAAAAAACAGAAAAGATATACCCTTCAAAACCACACCCTCAATAATCACTTCCTCCAGACTATGCATTGATCATGGTAATTAGCCCTCTCAAAATCCACTCACCTGGTCTGGGAAGGTGGCTCAGTGGTAGAGCGCTTGCCTTGCAAGCCGGAGGCCCTGGGTTCGGTTCCTCAGCACCACATAAGAAAAAAGAAAAAAGCCGGAAGTGGCGCTGTGGCTTGAGTGGTAGAGTGCTAGCCTTGAGCTGAAGAGCTGAGGGACAGCGCCCAGGCCCAGACCAGAGTTCAAGCCCCACGACCGGACCCAAAAAAAAAAAAAAAATCCACTCACCTCTCAAAAATAGCAAAATTAACTAGGGATCAAGCCTCTTTTTCATGATCTTTTTGTCATGATCTTTTGTCTTCATTTTATATCCAAACAGCCTATAATAGTTACTAGTTAGTTGTGTAATATTCTTATAGAATATGGTGAAAAATATTCATTTTTCTGTGTGGCAAGTAAAGATCTTCCAACTTCAACTTTTTTTTTAACCATCCGAGGAGAAGGGACAAGCTAAAAGAACTTTTTAACATGATCCTAATGTTACAAATCTCCTTTAAAAAATCACTTAATTATGAAATTTCTTTGTATAGCTAGTTTGTTCTTATTGATTCTAGCAAAATGGAAGGAATGCAATGCATATTTAAAACATCAATACCAACTTAGCCAGCACTAAAAAACAAGCTTAAATAGCAAAGAATCTGCTCATTGGGTTGATTAGGATTACCTAGATTTAGATGCCCTCCTTCTATTCCGATACCACAGGACCATCTGAAGGGTAAGATCTCCCATCAGATCTGTGGATGTGCAGCCCAGAACCTCTTGAGGTAGAAAGAATCACAATGTCCTTAGTGAATTTTGTTTGGGTTTGGTATCAGTCTTGGTTTTTGAAATGGATTCTCTCTACATTGCCTTTATTGGCCTCAAACTCTTGGGCTCAAGAGATCATCGTGTTTTAGCCTTCTTAGTAGCTGAGACTAAAAGTGTGCACCATCGTGAGCATGCTCCTTGATGTTTGGTAAAACCCTCTTTGAGCTAAAGGCTTGAGCTATATAATTCGCTAAAGGATTGTGAGTCTCTGTTTAGAAAGATTCCATAATGGGGCTGGGAAGGTGGCTCAGTGGTAGAGCACTTGCCTTGCATGCCTGAGGCCCTGGGTTCGATTCCTCAGCACCACACAAGCAAAAAAAAAAAAAAAAGATTCCATAACTCCAAAGATTCTCAATGACATTACCTCAAGTTGTCTTTGAAGTAGGTCTAAGTATAGAAGGTAAAAAGATATTCAGCTCTATGCTGATGTGTTTGTGTAAACATCTCTAACACATTAGTAGCTGTCTCTTAAATGCTAAGTGCCAGCAGTTTCAGATTTCATAGACCTTAAGTAAAGAATTTGTGTTGCTCTACTAAGATTAAAGCAGTCAAAAAGGAGAAGAAAAATAGAAGACAGAGACTGAACTATGCCAATGTCCCCAGAGCTACATTGTAGCCAATCATGGTGGAAAGCCAGCTGAATTGTAGACCGCGTTTCCTTCATTCATAATACTATGGCTTTGCTGTTTCTATATATCTTCAAGAGTTGAGTCTCCAAGCTGCAAGATAGTTCTCTCACGTGTTCACCTATGCCTGATAGTTATTTACAAAATGACCAAGAGTTTCACCATCTAGCCAAAATCATGTTTAAAACACCATTGGACACTATAAATAACATAGTAGGTGCTTTTCAAAAGGAATACTCACATTTACTCTTTTACTTTTATTTTTCTTTGTGCCAGTGCTGGGGCTTGAACTCAGAGTCTGGGTACTGTCCCATTTCTTTTTCACTCAGGGATGGTGCTCTACCACTTGGACCACAGTTCCACATCTGGCTTTTTGCTGTCTAATGGAAGATTAAAAGTCTCAAAGACTTTTCTGCGTAGGCTAGCTTCCAATTTGAATTCTCGCATCTCAAGGTCTTCTGAGTAGCCAGGAAGGCATGAGCCTGTTACAATCAGCAAAGCTCTGCGGACCTTAGCCACTGAGTGATTTTGAATTCTCCTGTATCTGAAGCTCACGGAGACCCTGAGGTGTGCATCTGTCCACAGTTACTCTAAGAGTTCATTACACTTGTAGCTATTTGCTTCTTGAGGCTGCTTTTATGACAGCCACCCACCCTTGCCTACTCCCACAAAATATGGAACAAACACCGTGCATCCCGTCTTCGCCCCCACGCTGGAAAATACCACTGAGTGACTCTTGGCCTTGGCATTTCGCTCTGGAGACCTTGTCTGCTTAGCGCCGCAAAAGCAGCGCTGCGCCCCGACTCTCCACCAGGGGGCAGGAGAGAGCACCTTACGCTGGGAAATTTCAAAATTCTAACTTTTCCCCCCCCAAATTGTGTCCCTCCTGGAGAAACTGAATCCTCCAGCGGTGGCGTTCCAGCAGCCCGCCCCGCCTCGCCGTGCGCCCCGCCTCGCCGCGCGCCCCGCCTCGCCGTGCGCCCCTGCCCCGCGCTGCCCGGCGCTGCCCGCCCACCCGCCCAGCCTTGGACCCGCAACCCTCTCTGTGCCGAGATGAAGATCTGGCTCCTGCTCGGGCTGCTGCTGGTGCACGAAGCGCTGGAGGATGGTGAGTGCTGGGGAACTGGCTGGCTTGGGACAACTTTAGCCGTCCAACAGCCTGCCATGCCTTATTATTAGCCTTTGGTGCTGATCTCCGAGTGGGGATCTCCTCTCTTCGGTTCTCCACGCCCCCTGCGAGCCCGCTGGGAAGGTGGCATCCCCTCCGACCCTCTCGGGAGCCCATCCGGGCTGCTCCAGCCCTCCCCCCGAAATGCCCAGCGTCCCCAGCCAGCGCTGGGACAGGGGCCAGTCCCTGTGTCAACGTGTCGGCCTGGGAGGCGGCCAGGACGCCGGAGATCGGAGATCGCTTCCACCTCTGTGCCACGCGTCGCCCCTACCCCCCGACTTCTTCATCTGGGGCTGTGGGGAGGGGGGAGGCGGGGAGGGGGGAGAAGCCACCTAAGCAAGAGCATTCTGGTGCAGTCCCCAGAGTCCTCCTGCGCTTTTGTATACCACCTAGAGCTGCCTAGGTCATCAACCAACATTTTTTTCTAGGTGTTAAGTCTCAAAAGAAATCAAAATTCCACCGCTGTTACATTTCTTACATATTCCTATTTTAAAGGAAGCGGGGAAAGGTGAGGACAATATATTCTTTTTTTGCCCAGCATATAAGGACCTTACACCAATAAGCCTTTTAAACGATATAATAATATGTTTGTACTGCCGTGGAATAGATTTGTAACCACAAGGTCAAGTTCTGTGTGTGTGTGTGTGTGTGTGTGTGTGTGTGTGTTGTTTTACATATAGGCTAATATAGATATATATACATATATAGTACCATTCTCATTGTTATATATATAGGCTGTGTGTGTATGTGTGTATATTGGTATACCACAATTATCTCATTGTTTTGTTCACTCCATGAATTATTTAACCGGTGTTACTTGTACAGTACATTGTTCATCAAGTTACATCCTGCAACCACTTTTGAAATTCTTCTGCTACACAAATGTGCTTTGGTTTGGCTGAAAAGAAGCTTTTACTGTTATGCAACCTCTGGCGAGAGCCACCTCAACCTGGCTCACATTTTATCCACTCCTCAATCCTGACTATTTCCTTTCAATCAGAAGAAACAACAATCCTTTACCAAAAATACCCCACTTTATTTTGCGAAACCCAAAGTGGCTTGTGAGACTGGAGGTGGAGGGTGAGGAGCCTCAGAACCCCCAGTCCTGTGTAAGGAAGTGAAGGCCACACTGCTGAGCAATATTTACTCTGCCCAATAAGAAAGCTGGCACGAGTTCAGTTTGTAAAAGGCAATGTTAAAAGTCTTTCTGGCAGGTCCTTGCGTGTGTGCCAGTATGACAGAAATGAGGTATTTGGTATCATTTTTTTGAGTAGCACAGGGATGGCCAGACAAAATAATTCCAAATGGTCCATTCACTTGTTTATGCCCACCATGCCAGTCCGAGAGGCTTAAGAAGTGGTTTCAGCCAACATGTACTCAAGACTATGGGAATTATTAAAACCATCTGCCTACATAAATTAGCATCTGTTTAAATAACATACAATGCATATAAACAACCTTTAGGAGAGGATTCAAAAAAGCTGAATATAGATTGAATGTTCTGTCAGAAGCAATGGATAAATTTTAAGTGCGATAATAGCACTGTGTGTTTTTTTTAAGTACGTACACATATAATGTATAAGTTATGAATAAAATGTTATACATATACTTGGAAAACTGAATCTGTTTCATTGAATTATTGGGCCATTTTCCCAACCCTATACACCATTTGTTTGTGTGTGTATGTTTTTTATTTTGTGTGGGGCCAGGAACAATCAATGAGAGTTGATTACACAGAAAGCCTTTTTCTGTGGCTATCTCTGATTGGCAGGTTGGGAGAAGCCTATGCATGTATGCCACCAGCTGAGCGACCTCCAGAACAAAATCTGTAGACACAAGACCATGCTGAGTCACCTTAACCTCTGACTTTCAGTTTTGGTGTCATCTGGCAGAGAGCTTTCTACATGGATAAGACTTCTCTGCAGGTAGAACGAGGACAGCTATCTGTCATAACCCAGTGAAGTTTGACTGGCCCATTCTAAGATGATCACTTTTTAGAAATGGCATTTCCTTGCATGAAGAAAGGGGCTGGAAGGGTACATATGTCACCTGTGGCAGCAAACTGCTCTACCACTTGAGCCACAGCGCCACTTCCACGCATTTTTTAAAGTATTTAAGTAGCATTAAATGTATTTAAGTAGTTGTGTAAAGGAGTTACCATTCAACACATCAGCTTATAAGTACAATTCATCTCAAACAAGACCACGTGAATTGTTAAAAAACCATCTGCCTACCCAGCATCTGTCAAAATAAAATACAATTCATATAAACAACATTTAGGAGGAGATTAGGAAAGGCTCCTTCTCCCCTCTCCCTCCCAACCATTGCTCCTTTGTATCTCTGGTTTCATAGGCTATGCATTGAATATTGACTGCATTCTTCCCCTGCTCTGTCCCCACTTCTTGTCTTCATTCATATATCTTTCTCCCCTCTATCTTCCCCACCCACACCATTCAGGTACTAATTTTCTGGATAAGTATTGATTTGTTACTGCTATTTTGTTGAGTTATGCCAGCCCCCTTGATTCATGCTAATAACCATGCTAATAACCCTAACACTGGTTTACTTTATATCTCTTTTGAAAGAGTTGTCTTTCTGAGATGATCAAACAGATTTAGTATGGTATGAGGCCAATGTAGCCAGATCTCTGAAAAAGTAAACAGAGAAATACACTTTGTGTCCAATTTATTCCTTGGAGGAAGGGGGAAAAACAAGGAAGAATTAGTTCAGAAGCCATTTTAGTAAAAAAAAGTTGTAATTTCCTTCTTGCTTACAAAGGCAAATAGTGAATGCTTTAAAATCCTTAAGGTTTGGCCAATAAATTTGACAGGCAAAAATGATTATATAATTTTATATGATTCAAGTTTGAGTATTATTTTAATAGTCAAATAAAGTTCAAGAGGAAAGAGCAAGCAGTCAGGGGAGGTGAGACAAGTCCTAAGAAATACTAAAAAAAAATTTCCCTGGACAAGGTCATAAGGCTCTGTCTTCCTGGTGCTGACAAGGACAAATAATGAACAGATAATGGTATAATTTTAGGAGGTGATAAATGTTATAAAGAACCATTATTAGAGGGTATTATCAGTTCCTTAAAGCAGCTATAACAAAGTATGAGTTGATCAACCCTTATCTGAAGTGCTTGGGAGCAGAGGTGCTTCAGATTTTGAATTCTGGAATATAGATAGATAGATAGATAGATAGATAGATAGATAGATAGATAGATAGATAGATAGATAGATAGATATTGAAGAAGTTAGAATCTTTTCTGTCAAAGTGTTGCTTGACAAAATCACTTCCACTTTAAGGAGAGCCACTTTTTTTTTTTCTATAGGAAGTTGTTTTAGTTATGCTGCATCCTGTTATAAGAATTATTTTTCTAAGGGCTGAAGGCATGGCTCAAGTGGTAGAGCGCCAGCTAAGAATTGTTTCTCTGGCCAGGTGTCTCAGATTGGGCTGATTGCTTGAGTAAACTTTTATACCTTTTCAAACTGGCCAATTACACAAGATTGTAAATCTCAGTTCTAACCAGGGAGAAAACCTGAGCAAACTGCCCTCCCGGCATGATTGTTTATTTGGCTTCCAGACAGTAGGACTTGCTTCTGAAGATGGTTATGGAATTCAGGAATTAACTCTGGCTCTGAAGGGGGAAAGGGGTGATTTTAAAGGGCAACTAGGTTTAGAAATTTGGTTATTTTATTGTGTGATTCTTAATAAACATCTATAATTGCTATAGTGTAGAAAAACAGTTTTAAGATTGCTTTTTTTCCTCCATAGAGGATTTTAAAAAAAACAATGTTATCTAAATTCAAAGGTTTTATAAGTGATTTCAAAATACAAATTTTAAAAGGAAAAATCAACAAAGAGGAAAGCTATGGGAAGGTATAGGGAGTTAAGGTATAGGCTGGTCAAGGTAATTCCTGACTACAAAGGGATGGGGGAGAAAATAGAAATGGAGATGATCTAATACCTTGGGCTGACTGTCAGAACCCAGCTGAATCAAACATGACCAGACCAAGGTCAGACTGAACCTACAAGATACCCTCTTTAAGACAGGTGATAAATATTTTGTAGACAGAAATAGGTAGATGGGAGCCACTTGACCATGGCCGAGTGAGGCAGACTACTTAATACTTGAGCAGCTCAGCCAACTATTAAAAGCAAGATTTGACCAACAGCAAAGAAGATACGTTCTATAAGGAATTTATTACCATTCAAGTCCTGGAAAACTTAGTGTTGCCTGTAGAACTATGTGTTGGGTCTCTCCTCTACTTAGCTTTCTCTCAGGTTGTGAGGCTTTGGGCATGGGAGAATAGACAAACTCTAGCTATGCTACCTGAGAAGGGAGAAGTCTGTGTACTGATTACAGACTAATGTACTCTCATCCCCTAATACTGCCATTGGTGCAGTCCCAAAGCATTATAAATGCTTTACAAGGACCATCCTGGCAAAGGAGTTAGCTTAGGTGACACACTTACCTAGCATGATGGAATGATGGCTTGGAAAATGGAGAGGAATCATGGTGTCTATGTTTACCTCCTTAGTAATTGTTTTTGGAGTAATGATGGTGGGTGGTTGGTTGGTTGGTTGGTTATATTTCTTGCAAAGAATTTTGTTCAGAGACTGATTAAAACTCCCTCACTGGACTGGGAATGTGGCTTAGTGGTAGAGTGCTTACCTGGCATGCATGAAGCCCTAGGTTCGATTCCTCAGTACTACATAGACCAAAAAAAAAAAAAAAAAAAAAGGCAGAAGTGGGAGAGTGCTAGCCTTGAGTAAAAGAAATGCAGGGACAGTGCCCAGGCCCTGAGTTCAAGCCACAGGACTAGAAAAAAAACCTGCCTTCACCAAACACTAATAATATTCTCTTAGTGGATACTGCTGAGCAGGAAAGTCGATGCTGACCAGAATTGAAGACAAGAATGTAAATAAGAGGGGAGAACTGTAGGAGTTAAATCTTTTCTGTCAAAAGTGGTTGCTTGACATAAGCACTGCCATTATAAGGCTAGTTGCCCTCTTACAAGAAGCTATTTTTGTTAAGCCACATCCTGTTATAAGAATTGTTTTTCTAAGGGCTGAGGGCATGGCTCAAGTGGTAGAGTGCCAGCTGAGGAAGAATTGTTTTTCTGGTCCTGCTTTGGCCAGGTGTCCCCAATTTGGTTGCTTGTTAGGTAAATTTTTAACCCCTTTCAAACTAGCCAATCATACAAGACTGTGAGCCTTATTTCTCACAAATGTGTTACGGATGAAATCT